TGTGTGTGTGTGTGCGTTTGAGAAACACCATCTATCCCCCCCGGTTCAACAAATGGACCGGTTCTGTTCCAACGCAGCATGCAAGCATACGTATCATGGTAACGGAAAAGAACGCGTGTGAATTTTAATCCGCAAAACAGAACTGAGCGCGCTAAATTTAGGTTGGCATTTTGCTACCTAAGGGGAACGCTATTTCTCAGTCTCTCGACGGAAAGGCGAGCTAAAAAGAAAGAATCGGGAATGTTAGAAATGGGCTAGGGGTGGGGGATTGTGGAAGAGATTTCAATCGAATAGGCCATGTGAACACGGATTGACCTTAGCCGAATGGGAACGAGTGAATAGCTCAGTTGCCACGGTTCACAGAAAATTTTCCGAATAGGACTAATTGGAATGGAATTGGATAGCAATTACTGTTTTGTTATTGTTTTCTTTTTCATTGCCCCATTTATAACCACGGACGACGACAGTGATCCGTGGAATAAAAGTATGAATGCTAGAAGGAGGGAATCGTGTTAAATATACGAATGATACTCTATGACCCAGGGTGCATTTCAGTCAGCTGGTTTGAGTCAATTAACGAATACCAATAATACAAGACCTATACAAACACAGTTGCTTGTTTCTGATGGCTGTTAATCACCACAGATATGGAAAAAATCATACGTTCAGCCAAACAACACCGAACTACACACACATACACAGACACATTACTAATAAATGCATGGATGATATTAGTTAAAATTCATGTTTTTCGTGGACTAGTTCACAGTCCTGACTGATCTGAACATAGTTAGGAACCCCTGGCGATTGCTAACCACTGCTTGCGAAAACACTAGTCAAAATAATGCAGAATAGGCGCGTCTATGTTTAAGATCGAAATCGAGATACTCTGCTGTGGTACCACAACTTTATCGTATCGCAATTGGATACATTCGTCAATCACACTTGTACATTACCTCAGCTGGTTTCGGTGTTCACAATGTAAAGACTGATCGTTGTTTTGTTATTTCTTTTGGGAAGGAGGGGGGGGGGAGTTCTCACTGCCGACACTGGAACCCCAAATTTGATAGATCTCATATTTCAAATGGGCATTCGTCGCGTATATAGCAAATGAAGCGTGAACTGAAAAGCTCGGAAGCACTGGACAGCTGTTTCGATCTGATTGGGTCTCATCAGCAGTGCGAATCCATCGACCCGACTGGGGATCGAACCCGGGACTTCATGGGCAGAACGCAAGCGTGTTACTCATTACGCCGCCGGGCACCTGATCGGACGGTTTTTTATTTTCTATTTACACGATATAGCACAACCCATCTTTGAAAGTTTGTTGCGGACCACGGACCCTGCTCAACTCAGCACTAGCCTCCAGGGTTATGACTCGGTTGGAAACATTCACAACCTGACTGATTATTTCATGTGGGTAATGGAGGATTTGGTTAAATTCCAAATGGGAATTCGTCGTGTATATAGCTGTGTCGTGTATAGCTGCCCGGTGGCGTAGTGGGTAGCACGCTTGCGTTCTGCCCATGAAGTCCCGGATTCGATCCCCAGTCGGGTCGATAGATTCGCACTTCTGTTGCGACCCAGTCAGGTCGAAACAGCTGTCCAGTGCTTCCGAGCTCTTCAGTTCACGCTTCATTTGCTATATACACGACAAATTCCCATTTTAAATTCAACCAAATCCTTCATTACTCACCTGGGAGATTTCATATTGTTTAGCCTGTAGCCTGTGTTCGCAATTCATAGTTTGTGCGTTGTAGGACTTTCTGATGGAGGATATATTTATTTTTCGAATGAGACATTTATTTATGGTGTTATTGCTAATAGGAGTTTTCAATATCTAAACCAAACAGAAGTTTCACATACATTTATGGTTTTTATTGTGCGTTGTGGTTGATTCCCGTTATATCTGTAAATATAAAATGTAAATGCGTTCGACTTGTTTCTGTTACTTCTCCAAGCTAGTGATAGAAGCCATCAGCAGAAGAGCGAATGAACTTGGAAGGATGGGTCATACCAACATGCCCAGTTTACCGCCAGACAAGCCTCTAGCGCGATTTTTCTTCAAAGGTAAGATGGCAGTAGGCATCCATTTTGTCAGAACAGTGGATCTAATTGGAGATATGTTCCAAAAAGCGGTATATACGAGGATGAGGATTCATTCCCCGCCTATTTTTTGCGGAGCTTAAACGGTATATTGACCAAGTCAGGTTATAAATGCAAACCAGAATGTTGTATGTGTTAAAATTTGCTGGACTTTTACAATTACCTGTGGAAGACTGAGCACGGGCACTTTCGAATATACTGAGATCGATCGATTAAAGGTTGTGCAAAGGTCACTCAAATAGACTAGGATTATCTAAGTTCAAAGTTTAGTGCAATTAACTGGCCAAATGCCTACGGAAACTGCTAAACTAACAGAGGGACGAATAAATTCGATGGGAGCTGTCGAAGTGGCCACCAGCAGCGTGAAAACTGAGGAACCAACGGAATCCGGTGCTGAAGAAGGGAACAGTGTGACGAAACCACAAAAGGGAGTTCCCGAGGGTTGGTTACGAAGTGTTGTCGAACAACAGGAAGAGATTTTGAAAAATAACCCAATCGTCAAAGAGGAGAAAATACACGATCCGGTGGACTCAGAGAGTAAACATATACTGGAACAAAATGTTCACAAACGAGAAGTTATAGACTACGTGAAACAACGTCTAAAGCAACTCCCGATTGAGAAGGACGAGCAGGCTGCTTTAAATCAAATGTTTCGTAAGGTTATTGGTGACCCACCACCCCTATCGTCTAAGAAAAAATCAATGAAGTTCGATAAACCCGCAGAGCAGGATTGTAAATCATCTAACGACCTGCTTGAGGTATCGAAACTTGAGCACGCAGATGCCATGAGACGCAGTTTCCGTCTCCTGTCCCAACTGGGTTTGGATGAGGTTCGCCGTCTCTATGGTTCGCACAGTATTAATCGTGTCCGAGCAGCCATCTTCCAGCTACGTCAACTGCAAGCCAATCGACGTTCCACCGTGCTTCGGTTGCAGGCTTTGAAACGACGCCAAACGGCAATGGGTAACGCGCACGTGCGACATTTGCCCACAGGAATCAATGCCACATACACATGTTATTTTTGCTCCTGCGGATTCAGTTCGGTGACACAATTGCATGCGCACTTATTGACGCAAGCTCATTTGTGCGTGAACACGCCATTGGGGTCTGGTTCGGTGATGGGACACAAACAAACTGCTATCCAAGTGCTGGAGGGACAGGCGAACAACAGCAATGCGACGGATTTGGATATGCATCCGCAAACAAAAAAACCGGATACTGAGCTGAATAGGTTGTTGCAAAATTTGAAACAGATTGATCAGAAGAAAGACGGTAAAAAGTTTTTTTGTATACCAGTGTATCGATGCATATATTGCGGAAGTTATCTCCGGAAAGATTCAGTTTGCGAACATTTATGTTACCAGGAGGTGAGTTCATACAGTTTATGATATAAGGCATCTGAAAGGTTTCCAATACGTTTTGAAAGATTTCGGTTTTCTGATATGATGTACGGTAATTTTCTTCAGTACGGTTCAGAAAATCTTAGTGAAGAGCCACAATCACGGAATAACCTGGAAGAGTTTAGGCAGTTCAGTTCAGTTGTTACAACCATTAACCATGCACTTTCGTGCGCCGGTTTTGATTGCTGTCTTTTGGCTGCCCATTTGGATAAAAGAGCGAAATGAAGATTGGAATGTCGAAGCAAATTCAAGCGGGTGATGGGGAATTGATATAGAGTGGTGTTAGGAAAATAACGAGTGGATGCACGAGCGCCACTGTTTGCGACACCCAGCCATATCACTCGGTTAGTGGGAAACGGGAGACCGTCAAGGCCAAATATAATTGCAAAGCGAGAGGATAGAGAAAACGTGCTGTGGTGTCAGAAAAGTGTGAAATATAAATATGTAATAGACAGTAATAAGCAGCAGAAAACGAATCGTTATCATCAGAGTTTTATTAGGCAGTTACCTGAACCTAATGCGGACACATGGACTGAATACAAACACTGTTTCGGGTAGCTTTCCTCTATAGTCTCTCAATCCACGTTCACCTAAATGGAGAGATGACAGATTTGAGCAGTAGACTAGTAAGTCTATACAAACACACATATATACATATACACACAGATAAATAGATACATACGTACATACGCGTGCTCACACATGCTTGTGCCACCAAACACCAGTGCGATCATGCATACAGCTGATCAAACAATAATGAATGTAGATATAAGCATCCAACGGTACGTCAATACAGCAGAACAGGTGGAATTCTAGGATGCATTTATGAAATATGTTGGTGTTAACACCTCGGTCAAGTCTATGTGCCCGTGTTTCGGCGTGATACTGAGTGATAAAATGCTTACTATGTGATGTGCCTCTACCTACCTGCTTACTTCCGTATGTGCGCAAACAGAACATATACACGCTGTTCTACCGATGTAGGTACAATTATCAACATATACATCCAACTGTACGTGAGCTCATACATGGATGCACACGTACACACACATTTTCGCTTGTGCAATATCGTTTGCGCATTACCAACTTGGAATTTTCCTTGACTGGTTATCCTCGAACCCTTAGTTTCAGGCCCTTCGGGCTGGCTTGTACGAAATTGCGCTTATTGGGGATGATAAAGGAAAGGTATCTACTCCCTCCCTATAAGACTGAATGTGGTGCTTTTCCTGTGGTTTGAGCTTTAGCCATCCCCTCACT